TGAGGTTTTATTCTTTGAAATACTCATGCATTCCGATTTCTTGACATTGAGTGATAGTCCCATCTTTATGCTTTCTCTTGAGACTATATCAATCATTTTCTGTAGGTCTTCTTCAGTGCTCGCTATTAATATAGTGTCGTCTGCATATCTTAGGTTATTACAATTATAGCCTCCAATTTTCACTCCTTCTACATCTTCTAAATTTCTGAGTATCATTTCGCCGTAGATGTTGAAGAGATCTGGAGATAGAACACAACCTTGTCTGACACCTCTCTTGATATTTGTGTATTCACTGGTGTCGTTGTTTACTTTCATGGCGGCTTTTTTATCCCAATAAAGATTTCGTATCAATCGTAGATCTTTGCCATCAATATCGAGTTTTTCTAGAATTTGGAATAGATTATCGTGTTTGATTTTGTCAAACGTTTTTGTGTAGTCGAGGAAACAGAGATATATATCATGTTTGACTTCTATGGATCTTTCGATTATCATTCGAAGAATGAAGATTGCATTTCTGATGCCTTTATCAGTCGAGAATCCATATTGTTCTTTTGCTATTTCTGGTCTGATCCTGTTTTTCATGCGCATCATCAGAATCGTGAGTAGAATCTTTGTCACATGACTCATGAGACTGATTGTGCGATGCAGTTCACATTCCGTGGCTCCAGACTTTTTTGGAAGGGCTATGAATATTGATTTGGTTAGATCTTTCGGGATTTCACCTGTGTCATATATTTTGTTTATTAGTTTTGTCATGACATCAACACCTAGTTCATCGAGACTTTGAATCATTTCGACGAATATTCTATCAGGACCTGTTGCTTTGTTTGTTTTCATTGATTTTATAGCTTGTCTCACTTCGTCTTTCATTATTGAAGGCCCTTCTATATTTTTCTTTATGTTAGGTTTAGAAGCCCTATTATCATCGAAAAGTTCTTTTATGTATTCTGACCACCTGTTCAGTATGTCACGTTTTTCCATAAGGATGGTTCCACTTTTTAATTTGATACGGCCCGAACCGGTGTATCCTGATTTTCCTGTGATTTCATCGATTTTTTTATGAGCGTACTTGGTGTTCACACTCAACTTATTTTCAATCTCTGAACACTGCTCGTTCAGCCATTTCTCTTTTGTTCTGAGCATTTCTTTTTGATTTCTTTGTCTATCAACTTGTATTCGAGCAGGTTTGACTTCTTGAGTCGTCTTTGTTCCATTAATTTTAGGATGTTGTCAGTCATCCATCTCTTTGTCTTGTTTATTTGAGCTTTTGGGAGTATTTCTTCAGCAGATGCCAAGATCGAGGATTTCATCTGCTCCCACAATACCTCAGTCTTTATGATTTCACTGGTTGCATCCAATGCTTCAAATCGGTTCTGTACCTTGATACAGTACTTTTTCTGTCATATCTGGATCAGTTTTAAGGAGGTGAGCCTGAAGCTTTGGATTTTTCTTTAGCTGTTTTAATCTTTTTAATTTTACGCGAATTTCACTGATGACTGGGACATGGTCACTATCACAGTCTGCTCCAGGAAATGCTTTAGAGGAAATGACCGAATTCCTGAATCGATGACGGACCATAATGTAGTCTATTTGGTTTCTAGCCCGGTCTCCAGGGCTTCGCCATGTCCATAGTCTATGTGAGTGATTCTCGAACCATGTGTTTGTAATGACGAGGTTATGTGATTGGCACCAGGTTACCAGATTATCTCCTCTATCATTTTTGTTTCCTAGACCAAAAGGTCCTACCGTATTGCCAATTCTTTCATCTCCCACTTTTGCATTGAAGTCACCCATTACGTAGATGATGTCATCTGAGTTGCATTGCTTGTAGGCTTTGTCTAAATCTTCGTAGAAATCCGTGATTGCATCTTCGTCATAGTCAGCTGTCGGTGCATAACCTTGAATGATTGAGATGTTAAAAGGTTTGCCGTGGAGTTTTACAAGAAGAACTCTGTCCGAAACCGCCCAAAAGCCTTTTTCACTCTTGGAGGTTTCTTTGTCAAGAAGTATGCCTACTCCTCTCGCATGTTGATCCGGAGTAGAATAAAGTACAGTTATCTGTTTAGAAAGATCCAGCTCCTATCCATCTTACTTCAGATAGGCCTAGCACATTGACGTGTAACCTCTGCATTTCTTTCTTTACATTTTCCAACTTTCCTTTTTGAAACATAGTTCTTATATTCCAGGTTCCTATTTTGAGTGAGTTCTTGGTGCGGACAGTAGCCTGTTGACGATCGAGGGTCACCTGCCGTACGTGACCATCGCTACCGAGCGAGGTGTTCTCACTGAGAACCCCATTCACGCTGTTATCTGGACTGGAAATCTTGACGTTAATCATATTGTGCTTGGGAATATACAGCGGTGGTTTCCCCTTGCCTTCCGCCGTTAAACATATAGCCAGTGTCAAAGCTGACCGAACATTGAAGCGGCTTAGTGGATAATAAAACTAATACCAAAACACGTAGAATTTCGACGAGAATATGACTGAATTATAATATATCCCAAAAATCAATTATAGAAGCCCAGAAGTCGATAATAATGGAATAAATTGAAACCATTACAAAATTAAAACTAAAATTAAAGTTCTAGAAAAAAATATGAGTGACGAGGCGCGCGAGAAAAAATAACTGATGATTGAAAAATGATTTCTAAGAAACCTTCCAAGGATTTTTCGGACTTTAAAGTTCTATTAAGCAATAAAAATCAGTAAATGAGAATCCAAAAATCGAGCTCTGTCGAGTATAGGTATTTACTGAAAAACAAAAACAGCCCGCGGTTTCCATCATTCACCTGAAATGAGAATTCTTGTGCGCGGTAGATGCCTACTTTTAAGCCCTTGTTGTGGTACCCTCTCATGAACAGCTACAAGTCATGCCAAAAAGCACGTACCGTAAAAAATAATTTCGTTACCACACTTTGACATGGTCAATATTTCCTGAACGATTGGTTCAGATCAGACCTGCCTGAGCTGAGATAGGTTTCTGATCCAGGGGGATGGGGCCTTAACGAAGCAAGGTTCTGTAAAGATCATTTGTTTGCGGATGATTGGTCGCTGCTTTTTGAGGCTCCACTTGCTATCGAGTACCGCTATTCTTTCAAGTTATTGGCATATCTGGCTCAAAATGCTCTTGGTCGGATTAGCACGTACCGTGAGTTTTGGATGATTGAGCTGAATATAGGTAAAACGGTGGCACTTTTAGTTCACTAACAACTACAAATACAAAGGATCACGTTAACGTATGGTGAAAATGCTATTCAATTTTAAACGACTATAAAAAATTTGGACTACATAATCACCTCACGACTAAGAAACGGCAAGTTCTTGAAAACCCAAGGAGCCAAAATAGCTTCTGTTTTTCGAAAGGTTTCTATGCTGTTTGTTCGATTTGGTAGTTTAGCAATTCTTTTGCGACGTCGAATTTTTTTCACTTTTATGCATCTGTTGTTCGTATGGTTGATTCCGTCTTTTTCATCTGACCGACTTGCAGCAGGAAAGTTTAGCGAACTTATTTGGTTTTTATTTACAAAAAGTTTACGACTATCATTATATGCACTTGGAGTTCTTTTTTTCGATTTCTGGTGAACGTACTTTCCGTGATCGTGTTTATCGCTGCTAGAAAAAATATTCTATCTCCGTGTGGTCTCATCCTGATTCGGCTGCTCTTCTCGAGATGTACCATATGAGCGAGTCTATAGCTGTGCTTGAGTCCATAGCAGTTGTCCGAAATCGACATATTGAGCTGCTAGTGTCTTGATACTTTTGAAGTTTTCTTCGAATTTTCTGGCTGCTTACGAAAATTCATTCGAGTATTTAAAAATTCGTTTACTATTTTGAAACCAAACTTGCTTCTTCTCTTTTGGTTCACTGATACTTTCCTAAATGGAGCCATAGACTTTCTACTAGTTACTTCAGTGATCAACTATTAAAACAAGACAATATTATATCTTTATTAGTGTGTGTGTGCTCTGCTCATTCCTAGTTTCGTTTTTCTAGAATTTGAGTTGTCCCGATCAGTTTTGACACCGGCTATATGGTTAAATTTGGCAAATAAGTACATACACAAAAGCCTTAGCGTTTTTGCTAAGAGCCCCATTTTGCGCCTTGTCAAGCAATAACTCGGCAGCACTTCAACGTTTTGATCTCGAATTCTTAGCATAAGCTAGTAGGACACTAAGCATTAGTCACTAAAAGCGCCATCGAAATCGGATGTAAGATAAAATAGTTTTTTCCTTGGGGGAGGGTCCCCCTTAAACACTCTCGTGTCACTTTGATTTATTTGATTCTAGCATATTTCTGCTATATTTTTAGAAGCTTTTAAGTAAATCTAGATTAAAATTATGGTGGAAGGTTTGTACTTGGGTTTTGCTATAATTTGGTTTCAGATCTGCGGTAATGCATATTCAGCGACCTTCAATTGTAACCAAGCAAAAGCAAAGGCAAAATATGATTTTATTGTTGTTGGTAGCGGACCTGGTGGCGGTACAGTTGCTAGTGAACTCGCTTCACGTAATTACAAAGTACTTCTTATTGAAGCTGGGCCAGATTACAGTACAAACAATGTAACGATACCTGCATTTGCTCTCGTATCAGAAGTTGATCCAAATATTCGATTGGACTATCTAGTTAATATATATAATTCATCAGCTAATACAAGAATATTATATCCAAGAGCAGCTGCTTTAGGTGGTTGTTCAACGCATAATTTAATGATTTCAGTAAGAATGAATCCTTCTGAATGGAATCATATCGCTAATGTTACTGGCGATACGTCATGGAAGAATGCAAATATGCAAAAATATTGGAATCAAGTTGAAAATTGTAAATATTGTGCAAAGCCAAATAAATACAAAGGTTGGCTCAATGTATCATTACCTATGAAGAGCCAGCCTGGTTTAAAAACGAATGAAGTATTAAAAGCTCTGTTTGATACAGTTAGTGCATCAATGCCTTTTAATCCTAATGTGAATCAAAAGCCTATGAACAGTTGGTTTTATGTACCCACTGCCGTTAGTAAAGAAACAGGCACAAGATCATATGTCTATATTCGTCTTAAAAATGTTCAAGATTCAACTGGTTCGAACCTTACGATAATGACAAATACATTAGTAACAAAAATAATAATCGAGAACAAAACAGCTTGTGGTGTGCAATATGTTAAAGGTGCATATTTATACAAAGCAAGTCCAAGAGCGAACCAAAATGGAAAGTTAAATAATCGGAAGATATACAATGTCTATGGGTCATTCAAATATAACGTGGAATAATTGTCCTAATTACGCGACAGCTGAGTATAACAAAAGATGGCAGTTTCAAACAGAAACTTATGAAGATTGCAGACTCAAAGATTTCTGCAGATAAAAAATTTCATTGCCACTATTGTCGTGTGTGAAAGTCAAAATGTGAACAATATACCACGTTGGAAAAGAAAACATTTCCTCTACTAGTAGAATTTAAAATGCTACTGGGTTTGAAGTTCCATTGTTACAAGTACATTTAGAGATGAACCGTTTCTGATGTGTTTTTTATTATCTAGCGAATAGACCTTTCATTTGCTTAGTTTCCGAGTTTTAAACAGTAATTCAGGAAAACATTATACACAGTGTAGAACTTATAATTCAAATTCTTGTTTGAAACTATAGGTCTAATCTATGTGAAATGAAAACGGCGGTAAAACAACCAAGCTATAAAAAGAATACAATTAGAATGTGAATATCAGCAAGTATTTTTACAAAATTCTTTGTAAAGTTTATTTGTCTGATCCAGGAACTTCAGAAGGTCTCCTCCATAAAACTTATTGGGTTTCTATATGGCTCTGAAGTTGTTGTGACACTAAAAGACTGAAACACCGTACCTGAGATCTCAGAGGATCTCGAGAAAACTGTTCAGATGATAAAACAAGTCACCCTTAGCTGCCCACTACCATGGATTTTGAATGGTAGCTCTATTACTCGATGAGCTCTATCTGTTGCGAAACCGATATGTATGTTATTGTAGAATTTTTCTAAAATTAATTTATAAAGATAGTCATAAGTGAGAGATCAAACGAAGTTAATCTCCTGAAATCTGTTGAGAAAGGTCATTTTGAATTGACTTTTGATTTTAATAACTCTTTCTATATTTGTTAATTATTAACAAATATAGAAAGAGTTATTAAAATCAAAAATCAGCGGAAGTTAATTTTGTGATAGATGAATGTCCTCATATTGTAAACATGATGTTATTATAGCTGGTGGACAATACAGTACACCGCAAATATTACAGCTTAGTGGAATTGGTGATAAAACGCTACTACAATCACTTGGTATCAAAGTAAAACAACATTTACCAG